TTTTTTTTCATTTTGCTGGTAGAGCAGATTTACGTGAAGTTTTTCCCCATGCAGGCTCAACATTTCATCGCATCATCCCAAAGTTTATGCTGCAGGGAGGTGATTTCACGAAAGGTGACGGAACTGGCGGAAAGTCCATATATGGACCGAAGTTCGAGGATGAAAACTTCAAGGTGCATCCGAATTTCTGTTGGCTTTTAGGTTGAACATATTCATAGCAATATCCAGGAGCTGAATAGGCAGTGATAATGAAGTAACATAGCATTTTTTCAGTTAAAACACGTCATGCCTGGTACGGTGTCCATGGCTAACTGCGGTCCGAACACGAATGGCTCACAATTTTTCATTTGCACCGAGAAAACGGATTGGTTGGATGGAAAACATGTGGTTTTTGGCCATGTAGTTGAAGGAATGAACGTGGTTCGACAAGTAGAACAGCAGGTAGCTTTAATGGCTTGATTTCAATTTTGAATCGTCCTGAGTAACATTTTTAGGGTACGCCATCAGGTAAACCACAGATGGTAGTGAAAATAGTAGAATGCGGTGAGCTAGAGCCTGCGCCAGTCGCTGCTGTTGATAACGATGCTGATAATGATATCGGAAGCGTGGACCCGAGTCACATGGAAGTTGATAACCCGCCAGAGGAGGTTGCTGCGTAGCTTAGACTTTGTACAGAGTCTTCCAGGGATTTTTCATATCTTGCACGTGTATTATGTACTTTTCTGCTTGTTTGTTATTGTTATTTATAACATCGTTAACCCAATGTAAATGTAATAAACAGATCTCAACCAAAGAGGTTTTTCTCCTGCTGAACCGGTTTTAGACCTATCATACTTGGTTTCCTTTGTCTTTCTTTCATCTCACGCATTTCGTGGGTTCTATCCTTTCGTTCATGTTTAGAATGGGAAGTAAAACAGGAGGCAATACCGAGCCTATGCCATTTGTGCGGAAATGGGGCGCAGCAGCAGCAGCCTCCGCCGCGAATGGTTCAGATGAAGGTGTGATGAATGGGCCCCCACCTCCACCTCCAGAGAGTAAGTTACTTCTTCTTACAAGTAAAATAATAGGTTGGTACGTAAGTTTTGCCTTATCTCGTAGTTTTTCTCTTTTTTGGCTGTGGCGCATTCGTTTTTGGGCTTAATGTAGACTAGGTAGTAGCCGCAAATATGCGCAAATGGTTTGATTTTTGATAGCGAAGAGGAGAAAATTTACGCATTTTTTGGAAGGCGGGCAAAGTCGTAATTTCAATGGTGGGAAATCCAAAAATAAAGGCGTTATCAGGCTGAATCAAACGCATCAAGCCGAAATTGTAAAGATCAGTGGAGATTTCTCTACCAACGATATGGGTACAGTTTCGGCTTGATGAGTTTGATATGAACCAAGAACAGCTTAATTTTGGCTTTACGACCCTTGAAATTTCGACTTTGAACACCTTTCGAAAAATGTTTAACTTCTTACCACATCGTCATCAAAAATCAAAAACGTATCCGCATACTTGTAGCCTACTAAAGGCCACTGCATGACGAAGGCGCTCCTGCAGTA